GTGAGGTCCCGAGGAGAGAAGGGCGGCGAGGGGCAGCAGACTGACCCGAGTCCGCGCTGACCTCCATGGCGGCCGCCGCCGGTCCGCGCTACCGGCAAGGGGTGGAGGAGGGAACCGGCCCGGCGTGCGGCGGGCGGCACAGCTGCGCCCTCTGTCGGCCCAGGGTGGCGCCGGCAGCCCGCGGGGCGGAGAGCACCGCCCATCGCCTGGCATAGCCACGCCCATCTATTGGCATAGCCACGCCCACCCGCTGGCGCGCCCCCAGTCTAGAGCCCGGCGCAGCCCCGCCCACCAACGGGACAGCCCCGCCCACCCCCCGGCTCAGCCCCGCCCACAGCCCATCCCACTCCGCATCCCGGCACAGCGTCGTGCCCTGCTGGCCCTGTGACACTCGGCTGCCTTCCTCGCCCAGCTCCTGGGCTGTGGTTGCCTTGGCCCGAGGCCTCAGAGTATCTTTCTTTAAAAAAAAAAAATAAAAAAAATAAAAATAGTTCGACATCATCGCTGCTGAGTTACTGTATTCCAAAATCATCACATAAAGGGAGAAATCTGCCTCGTAAAACACCTCGTGCGCAGGTCTGGGGCTGCTCAGGCTGCGGGTGTGACCCCCCCCTTACAGTGTTCCTCTCCCCAGCCCCCTGGTGCCACCAGCAGTCCCTGCCGGCAGCGTGTCCAACGGCTGCTCAAACGGGAGACCCCCGGGGGGTACAATGGCAGCCCACCGGCACAGCCTGGCACCCCTCGGCTGGCTTCTTTAATGTCGCTGCTACCGGCATGGGGCAGGCTGGTGACCTGTCCCGACGGCTCTAGGGCCAAGTCGAAAGAAAAACAAAAAATAGAGGTGGCAACACTGATTGTGGATGATTTTTGCTCTATTTGCTGAGCTCGAGACCTGAGGAGCTGAGGGTCAGCCCCCGACACTTGAGAGGCTGGACGCTAACACACTGCAAAGAGGTGGGATTTTTTGGGGGAAGCAGATCTGGGACTCGGACTCCGTCCCTGGATGAAACAGAGGACATTTATTCATGAAAAAAAAAAAGAAAAGGGGATGGGCAGAGGAGACCAGCAGCGTACAATGCGTGCTTATCCCGGGCAGAGGGATGGCATTCTGCATTCTCGGGCCAGCCCATTATTTTTGCAGCACACATTTCCAGCATTGAGCTGGTGAGGGGCTGGCAAGCAGCTCCGAGGAAAAGGGCTTGGGAGTGTTGGTCGGCAGCAGCATGAGCCAGCTTTGTGCCCGGGTGGCCAACAAGGCCAGTAGCATCCTGGCCCGTATTGGAGATAGCATGGAATAGGGAAGAGATGGTTCCGCTGGGCAGGGCACTGGTGAAGTCCCACCTCCAGTGCAGTGTCCAGCTTGGGGCTCCTCACCATAAAAAAAGACATGGAGGTGCTGGAGTGGGTCTGGAGAAGGACAACAAAGCTGGTGAGGGGTCTGGAGAACCAGTTTTCTGAGAGAAACTGAGGGTGTTCAGCCCAGAGAAAAGGAGGGGAGTCCACATCCCTCTCTCCAACCACCTTGAAGGGAAGGTGGGGTTGGTGGTGGGGGAAATGTCCTCCGGGGGCCCTAGGGGAGGTTTAGATTGCATATTAGGAAAAAAAAGATTCTTTGTGAAGCACTCACTGGACACAGCCTGCCCAGGGGAGCGGTGGAATCGCCACTCCCAAAAACCCAGGGGGTAGAGGCGGGGCTGAGGGGACACGGTTTCGCGGCAGTGTTTCTTCTTGTGGGCGTGAAAGGTCGGCGGTGGGACTCGATGGGCCTGAAAGGTTCCTTCCGACCCAGAGAATCCCACCCGGTTCTCCCGGCAGAGGCCCCGGCGGCGGCGGCGGCAAGATGGCGGCGGTCGGGGCAGCCGGTCAGTGTCGGCGGTGGC